TTCTTTATCCATTTGTCTATTGGTGGACACTTAGGTTGTTTCCATATCTTGCCTACTGTAAATAATGCTGCAATGAACATAGGGATGCATATGTTTTTATAATTAGTGTTTTGGATTTCTTCAAATAAATACCCAGAAGTAGAATCACTGGGTCATAAGGCAGTTCCATTATTAATATTTTGAGAAACCTCCATACTGTTTTATATAGTAGCTGCATGAGGGTTTCCTTTTCTCCACATTCTTGCCAACACTTATGTGTTGATTTGTTGATGGTAGCCATTCTGACAGGTGTAAGGTGCTATCTTACTGTGGCTTTAATTTGCATTTCCCTGATGTTGAGCAAATTTTCATGTCTCTTGGCCATCTGTGTGTCCTCTGGAGAAATGTTCTATTCAGGTCCTCTGCCCATGTTTTAATTGGTTTATTTTCTTAGTGTTAAGTTGTATGAGTTCTTTATATATTTTGAGTATTAACCCCATTTTGGATGTATTATTGGCAAATATCTTCTTCCATTCAGTAGGTTGTCTTTTTGTTTTTATTTTTTTGATGGTTTCCTTCGCTGTGCAAAAACTTTTTAGTTTGATGTAGCCTCATGGTGGTTGTATTTTGCTGTTATTGTTTCTCTTGCCCAAGAAGACACACCCAAAAAGATACTACTGAGAGCAATGTCAGAGAGTTTACTGCCTGTGTTTTCTTTTAGGAGTTTTATGGTTCCGAGTCTTACATTTAAGCCTTTAATCCATTTTGAGTTTATTCTTGTACGAAAGTGGTCCGTTTTCATTATTTTGCATGTGTCTGTCCAGTTTCCCCAACACTGTTTATTGAAGAGACTGTCTGTACCCAACTGTATATTCTTGCCTCCTTTGTCATATATTAATTGATCATATAGGTGTGGGCTTATTTCTGGCCTCTCTGTTCTATCTCATTGAGCTATGTGTCTCTTTTGATGCTGGTACCATGCTGTTTTGATTACTATGGCCTTGTGGTATAGTTCGATATCAGCATACAACCTCCAACTTTGTTCTTCTTTTTCAAGATGGCTTTGGCTATTTGGAGTCTTTTATGGCTCCATATAAATTTTAGGATTATTTATTCTAGTTTTGTGAAAAATGCTATTGGTGTTTTGATAGAGATTGCATTGAAATCTGTAACTTGCTTTAGATAGTATGGATATTTTAATGGTGTTAATTCTTCCTATCCATGAGTATGGTATAGAATTTCATTTATTTGTGTCTTCTTCAGTTTCTTTCTTCAGTGTCTTATAGTTTTTGAGTACAGGTCTTTAGCCTCCTTGGTTGAATTTATTCCTAGGTATTTCATTCTTGCTGATGTAATTGTAAATGGGATTGTTTTCTTAATTTCTCTTTCAGGTAGTCTGTTATTGTGTATAAAAATGCAACCAATTTCTGAATATTAATTTTTTTATCTTGCTATTTAATGAGCTCATTTATTCTAGTAGTTTTTTGGTGGATTTTTTAGGGTTCTTTCTATATAGTATCATGTCATCTGCAAATAATGACACTTTTACTTCTTCCTTTCCAATTTGGATGCTCTTTCTTTCTTTCTTTCTTTCTTTCTTTCTTTCTTTTCTTTCTTTCTTTTCTTTCTTTTCTTTCTTTTCTTTCTTTTCTTTCTTTCTTTTTTTCCCCATCTGATTGTTGTGGCTAGGACTTCCAATACTATGTTAAATAAAAGGGGACATTCTTGACTTGTTTCTGATTTAAAGAAAAAGCTTTTAGCTTTTCACCATTGAGTATGTTTCCTCTATCCTCACTTTACTGAGAATGTGTATCATAAATGGATGCTGGATTTGTCCAATGCTTTTTCTGCATCTATTGATATAATCATATAATTTTTTCATTATTCTTCTGTGGTGTATCACATTAATTAATTTGTGGATATTGAACCAGCTTTGCATCCCAGGAATAAATCCCACTTAATCATGGTATATGATTTTTTTCAATGTATTGCTGAATTCAGCTTACTAATATTTTGTTGAGGATTATTACATCTATATTCATGGCCTATAATTTTTTTTTAAGTGTCTTTGTCTGGTTTTGGTACCAGGGTAATGCTGGCCTCGAAAAATGAATTTGGGAGCCTTTCCTCGTCATTAATTTTTTTTGAATAGTTTGAGAACTATGTACATTTCTTGAGGGAAAACCTTTCACTGAAGCTTCAAAAGGATCTTGAACTCAAAACCAAAAAGTTGAAAACAGTGGGAAGTGTGAAAGCTATTTTAGAGGTTTTCCCATTGGAGGGAAATGTTACATTCTGGTCTTTAGAAAAGGCCTTCAAAAAGCCCAGAAGGTCATCTGCTCCCTTTATTTACCACAACAGCAAAGAACTTCATTTGGCCTTAGCCTTTCTTGCTGGGGTTCTACTGACACTGCTGCTGGTAGCCCTTGTCTTCCTCATCATGAAGAACTACAGAAAATGTAAGTGGCCTCTGAGCGATGGGATGGCTCTTTTTTCTCTGCCATTGAGAATAGAGTTAGTCTTGAGTGGCTAACAGGAAAGAGGGGATAAAACCTGCTCAGCCCACCTTCTCTGCAGACTGCAGATTCCAATCTCTCCACTTCTCACCTGCCCTCCTGACCCTCCACCTTTCCCACCTGCACCACCTCCTCCCAGCCCACGCCTTCACCCAAGACTGAAGGGAGAGACTTCCAATTCCTCCAGACCCCATTGGTGAGATTTGTCCCTTTTCTTCCTCGCACTTGTGGCAGGTCATTCAAGTCCCCAAGCTCTGGATCCTCACTCAGATTCTCTTGCCAAGGTAAGATGACCATGCTGTTTCTGTGACACTGGAGACCTGCTGCCATTGGAATTTCCCTCTACACTATGCCTTATCCACTAGACTAGTGGTATTGCTTTCTGGATGCTGGGCAAGTGATTCTTTGAAGGGTTCTTGTGATTTCTTTGGGTCTTCTCTCACCAAAGCTTCCAAGTTGCTCTGAAGAGGTCCTTGCTTCTCAAGAGGCACATTCCTCCAGACTGAACTCTCTCATTCCTCCTCCTTCGTCCTCTGCAGTTATCATCCACCCCGGAGGAGATGCTCACCTATGCCAGCGTGGATCTCAAAATGTCAGAAGAGAAGAGGGGCGACTTGATTGCAAACCATTCTGCAGGCCTGAACTCCGTTGTCTATGCTCAGATTAAGTGACAGATTCATCCTGAGTTTCCAATAAGGCTTGGATCCAATTCCTCTCATGTCAGCTCCATCTTCATACATCACTTTCCCTTTTTAGAGATTTTGGACCACAGTCTGTGTGAAACTGCAGGTGGAGTTGTTTGGGTGTGATCTGGCAATCTTAGCCAGCAGTTTTGTGACCCAGGGTCAGCCTTTTTCCTGGGCCTCCCACTGGGACTAACAGGATGTAAGCTCTCTGAGGGCCGAGACTGCCTCCCTTTGTCCCTTCCAAAGTGTATGGTACAGGCTTGGTGCACCAAGAGTGCTCACTCAGTGTCCCAAGTGTCGACTTAGGAGAAGTCAACCAAATGGACAATCTAGCAGGAATGACAAATAAAAGCAAACCCTTTGCAATACTGGCTCCTTCATCCTGTGTCCCTGTTACCTGCAGATGTCAGGGCCACAAGTCCAGAGCTCATCCACAGCAGGAAAAGACTAACCGAGGTGATGGTAATCAAGTTCAGGATTGATTGGGGTACAGGTCTCAACCTCTACCACTAACTAGCCATATTCATTTGGGCAAGTTCGTTAAACTTTTAAAGCTTCAATTCCTTTATCTGGAAGACAGAGCTGAAAACACCTCTTAGCGTGGGAATAAATGAGATATAATACACACGAGCCGTCTGTATATCCCAGAGCTCCACACAGATACAAGGTCCCTGTCGATTAAAGCACTATTCAAATGTGGATGTCCGTCTCCTTACGATATCATGAGCTATGCATAACATTATACGGGAGCTAAAGATTAACTCTAAATCTCCCCAGTCCCACTGGATAATTCCGTAGACGATCCCAGTAAAAAATATCAATACAATTATTTTTTACTCAGCAAGATTACTCTAAAAATCCTATGTTAACAATAACCAGAAAAGCAAATCCAGGAAAGTTCATAAAAATAAGTAAAAGTAACGTGGGAAGCCTCACCCTAACAGGTAACTGGAAGTACTGTTTCATTAGGCATATTTAGACTAATTAAAATGATATGTAAATAGTACATGAGTAAACAAATCAGTGGGATACAATAAAAAGACCAGAAATAGACCAAAACACATAAGGAAATTCAGACTATGATGAAGGTGACTTACCAAGTCACCGGGGGGGATGGGTTATTCCATCAACGGTACTGAGACAAGTTGGTGCCCTCCAGCCGGCGAGCGGCAGAATAAAATCTAAATCAGATCCTCTGCCGCCAGATTCCTGATATCTGGCCTCCACCCCCCGCTGCCCCGGAGCACCCACAGTGGAAGAGAAACCAGAGGTGAAGTCAGGTGACACGGGCAGGAAAGGGAGACTTTTCCGAGGCAGGGAGCTGCTCCTGACAGCGGGCTCCGGAGGAGGCAGTGGGATTGGGGTTTGATGAGCGAGCGGCCCGCTGTGGGCGCCCACAGGTCTCGGAGGAAGGCAGGTTAGGGAAGCAGGGAGCCAGCCCCACGGGGTCTCTTCTCCAGCAAGGAGGCCTCGCTCACTTTCCGCTGTCCCCAAACCCTAGGCTGACACCAAACCAGTCTGCCCACCCTCACGCTAGGAGCCCCATCCGCTTTCCAGTTCAGAGCCAGTGCCTGAGAAACAGCTCACGGATGAGTAAGCCTTGTCCTGGGCCACCCACCTGCGCGTGGAATGTCAGATGAATTGTCCTGCCCTCTTTTCCCGAAGCTTCTCATTTTTAACAGCACAGCCCTCTGTTTACAAAGCCGTGCCTTTTGTCCCCCTGTGGTGAGCAGCGGTGCGCAGCTAGCCTTGCTGGAGAGTGGAATGAGCGGGTCAATAACTGATTATCGATTGGAAAAGTCTTTGCAGGTGAGGGAAGAAACAGGGCTCTTGAACCCTGGATCACAGCAGCAGAACAAACCTGTAGGGTCCTCAGGGAAGTAGTTTTCCAGACAGGTAAGTGTAAATCTCCCAGGACATCTAGAGTGGCTTCCTCTGTCGTGGAGGGTGGCTGTCTGCTCTCTTGCCTGGTATTGGAGGACATCCTAACGGAGCCCAGACTGGGCTGCTGTTTGCAGAGCCCAGGGGCTAGTGGCTCCTCTGTGTGGGTTCAGTGCATGGTCACAGAGGGGGGATTGGGGTTGATTTGTGGCTGAGGGGTAAGAGCACCTCTGATGTTTGAGCTGAGATTCTGGAAGGAAGGGAGACTGACTGTATGGAAACGCGGGGGATGCAGGAATGGGATGAGCTCCCACCTAAGGAGAGAGGGCTTCTTTAGGGCGGACGCTGAAGGAACCATTTTCATGGAAGGCTTTGTGAGAGCCTGGACCTAAAGGTGCAGGGTGTGTGCAGAATCGAGCCAATCTCCCTGTCCCAGCCCTGCTCAGACAAAGGGCCACTTGAGTATCCTGAGCACTGAGACTGGCCAGCACCCTATTGGAAGAGACCAGAAAAGCGAGGTATTTATGAGGGCAGCAGAGGCAGTTTGGGGAGACCCTGGGAGCTCCCTGAAATAGCGGGAGAGACACTACATAGGGAGAGAGGGTGCAGACACGCAGGTGAGATCTAAGACAGGTGGGTGCAGACATGCAGCTGGGAGCTAAGAGCTTTGGTAATTCGGGTGTTAATGACAATACAACCTCACTTGCACCCATAGCGGCTAATGCCTTAGTCTTGATTCGTGTGCCCTGATTTGAATGAATATTTCATTTAAGTTTTCTCACTTTGGGTTCTCATGGACCAGAACCGGCATCCATTCACTCTGGAGGCAGTTTCCCATGCAGGACAGTCTTTTCACCTGGAGAATCTGTGAACCCTGGATCTAGCCTATCTCCCTCCCTTTCTTTGGGTAGGACAGCACATGACACCAATTCCGGAATTAATTGGAATATCATACTTTAAAGGAAAAGTTTCCAGAAATACTTTTCCAGTGACATCCTAGGAGAAGGAAGTCATACTTTGGAGTTCATTCAACACTGGTTAGAAATTTATTGGCTCACAGATAAAATATCTCCTAGGCGCCCAACCGAGATTCTGCCCCTCCTCTTGGCTTCCGGCTGGCCCAGTGCGTGAGAACTAAGATCTTGAGATGTCCTCTGACTAGTCTTGCTCAGGCGTGGCCTGGTGTAGCTCCTCTGGCCACCCCTGCTCTTACCTAACTGCAGATGTGGTTGCCATGGTGACTCTCTTGGAGCTTCACTTTGCTTATGAACTACATAAAAGAAACCTTCAGTCACATCGGTCCAGCTTGAGCCAGTTCCTTTGGAGTCAGGACACACGAGAGGGGCTTCAAGGAGTGGTTCACTTTGTTGGAAACAGAAAGGAAAAGTGGGGTTGAGATCTATTGCCCACCCCGGAGGAGTGTTTCTTCAATGAAGCTGCCCACTCTCTCATGAGGGCTTTGTGGGGACTAAACACCAAAGTTTGGTTTCAGGGCCGAAATCAGATTGTTATTACTTGGAAGTCGGCTGGTCGGTCAATAGGAAAGCTTGGTACATGAGCTGGCATTCACCTCTCACCAAGCCCGGTGATAGGCATGCAACTGGACTCTTTCGGAACCCAAGGCTGTCAAGGCCAGGAGGGACCTTGGTTCAGGCTGCCGGGCTGCAGTTGCCTGAGTGCGAGGAAGCCGGCCAGGCTGTGCTACTGCTTGCTAAGAAGGGGTAGGGTTGGGGTCCGTTGCCTCAACTTTCTGTACTGACTCTAGTTGACAGTTTTACATTGTGTGTGTGTGGGGGGGGGGGATGGTTTGTCTCCCTCTCACGCTATAGTATAAGCTCCACAAAGACACGTGCTATTTCTTTCACTCATCTTTGTATCCCCACCACCTAGCATGGTCCTTGTTTATTGAATGAATGGATTGAATGTATGGATGAAAGGTCCTGGAGAGTCTGAGAATGGGGTCCTCAAGGTGTGCAGAAGAAAAGAGGCCCCTGCTCTTGGAAAGGTCACGCCTTAAGTGACAGTGGTTTTTGTAAAAACCTAGACTAGTTGTTTCCCAAAGGGAGGGTCTTGGGCAAAACTGAGAAAGACGTTGCCTTGTCTATAACCCCCACCTCCCTAGTTCCCCAAGCTCTTAGAGGACAGAGGCCAGGAAAGCTGCGGGGCCAGTACTCTTTATTCCTCAGGGGCTCCTGCTCGGGCCACGGGACCAGATGATCACAGGGAGAGTATGAGACCTGGGAGCCTTCCTTCGGAATCTCAGATTCTCCTGGCTATAGACCTTTGTGTTTCATTAACAGGTGTCTCCAGGTTTTCTGAAATGCTATTTTTCGACATTTTCATAGCCAGAGAACGTTGGAGTCTGTCTTGTAATTATACCTACAGTCTCTCCATTGCTCAAGGTATTTCCGTGCATTCTAAGCATTTAAAATAACAAAACAAGAAAAATCTATTGGCCAAACAGCGGCATCTATGTCTGGTGTCCTCTCTACCCCGTGTCCTTGTGGGAGGCTCACAGAATCCCCACGTGATGGCTTTCAGGATTTGGGTTTCTCGGAGCTGCCCCATAGGAAAGGTGGACAGCTCTGCACAGCCCGTCCGGAATGGAGTTCCTGTTCCCTGTTCTCTGCTTAGGAGCGGGGAGCCCTAAACATCAGGCAGTTGTGGCCCACCGAGCCCAGGCCAGAAGATTCAAGGAGGGAACCTACCAGAGGTGTGGCGATCGCAGAAGCAGCTTGCCTGGTCTTCTGGCTTCTAGTTAGGCCTTTACCTGTAATCGCTCGGAGGGAGAGGAAGGCGCAGAGCTTACCGGCCACTCCTCCCATGGCCCAAGGCTAGGGTTGAGGCCCTTGGGCCCATCCTTCCACTCCTGACCCTTCCTCATGTGCTGGGCGGGCAGGTCGCCCTGAGACACGGCACCTGCGGTGTGGTCGTCTCAGGGCCTCCCTCCTCCCTGGTCTGCACACACCTCTGCTTACGAAGGGGACAGTGCTCTCTCTGTCAGCTCTCGTGGTGCCTTTGTCACCGTGAAGCAGAACCTCCCCAGGCCACTGGCTGGCCGCGCTGGCTTCCGGGGGTCCAGGCAACAAGAGGGTCGCCTTCACCCATTTGAAAGCTGCTCCTTGATCTCTTTCACCTCCTCCCCAACACACTACTTACCTCCTCTGGTTCTTTGATTGCGCCTCTGTCTGAACAAGTGAATCATTATGGAGATGATCCCCACCCCTGTGATGAGCATGCAGGGCACGAGGACAGACAGCCTGGAAGGAACCACAGACATCATGTCCCTTGGAAGGAGCCAGCTTTTGGCTCTTTGCTCAGGATCCCCTCGTCTGAGATCCCCTTGCCCGAGGTGGGTGTCTGACTGCTCAGGGCTGAGCCCCTTCCTCAGAAACTAGCCTGGGCCGGGGGGAGAACCCGGGCTGGGACTCGCGAGACCTTAGAAGGGGAGACAAGCGCTCAGGAGCCAGACATGTCTCCCGGGGCCGAAACGAAGCGCAAAGGGCAGGGCAGAGCGGGAAGCCCACGGGACACGGAGCTGGGCCACCCTCGCTTGGAGCCACCGCTCTCCCCAACTCCCTTTTAACGAAGACGGCGACAGCGCACTTCTGCTGCTTGCAACCCAGAGCCCTAACCTGCATCCTTCTGGAAGAAACCAACCGGTCCCAGGGAAGAGACCCCGAGGTGGAGAAGCGGCAGGTGCGAGTCAATGGTCACGGGGTTGTTACCCCCCGGCCCCCGCCAAATGGGCTTTTCTCCTGAGGCGCTGCTCACCTGAAGTGATCTGCCTTGTGCACGTGTTTGGAAGCCCTGCAGCTTCTGTTCATGTTCCCCGATGGCTCTGCGTCACAAAGGATTTGTTAAGGGTCCATCAGGGCCCGTTCCCAGGCCCACCCTTTGCCTCTGCATCTCTGTCTGTCATTTCCTTCCATCTCCAGGGCATGACTGATGGCTGGTCAAGCAGAGGCACCAAGCACAGCAGAATGAACGTGCCCCGCACAGGGGTGAGGTCCCTGAGCCACCACTGTGGGGGACCCCCAAGCAGACCCCTGGCGTGCCCCTTACCCTTCACAGACCAAAAGTCACTGGTGTGGGCTCCTCTGTAGTCAGTCACAACCAGCTCGGTGAAATCCATCTCATCCCGGGCAAAGTCCCGCTGGATGCCACACCAGTACCAGCCTGTGTCCTCCTTGGTCAGGCAGGACACGGTGACAATGAGCTGGTTGCCCGTGTCATTCAGGGCCACGCGGCCGGAGCTGTTGGGTGTGAAGGCAACGATGCTGCAGTAGTCCCGGTAGTAGCCTCGGCACCAGTACTTGGGGTGGTCCTTGTAGTGGGTGTCGTAGCTGCAGACAGCAGACGCTGTGTCCAGCACAAAGCTTTCCTTCACCTTGTTGTCCATGACCATGGCTTCTGTCAAAAAACACGCCCACAGGGGGAGGGCAAAGAGGGGGTAAATGCTGATGGAAGGAGACTTGACTTGGGCCGGTGAACACACAATACAAAATACAGACGATGCGTTATAGAATTGTACCTCTGAAACCTATATAATTTTATTAACCAATGTCACCCCAGTAAATTCAGTTAAAAAACAAACAAACATGCACACGCATGAAAACAAAATTTTTTTAAACACGTTGTAGCTCCTGCCCTCCTGGAGGAAAATTAATGAAAGCCTTGGAGGCTGGTTTTTGCCCGTTTGGGGCTGGCAACTGTTACGGGCTGAGTAGTGCCCCCTAAAACTCATACACTGAAATACTACCCCCAGTGCCTCAAAATGTGACTATATTTGGAGATGGGGCCTTTAAAGAGACAATTAAGTTGAAATGGGGTTGCTGGAATGGGCCCTAGTCCAACATGACTGTTGTCTTTACAAAAAAGGAGATTAGGACACGTGACAGAGGGAAAGACCATGTGAGGACACAGCGGGAAAGCGGCCCTCTGCACACCAAGAAGAGAGGCCTCGGGAGAAGCCACACCGCCAACACCTTGACCTTGAACTCCTAGCCCCCATGACTGTACGGAAAGAAGTCCCTGTTGTCTAAGCCGCCCAGTCTGTGGTGCTTGTTACAGCTGGCCTAGCGGAGGAACATGGCAGCCCTGGAGAAGCCTTCCTCCCTGGCCTCCGGGCAGGGAAAATACGGATCCCCCTCTGCAGGAACTGAGGCGGCCTCTCGCCCTTGCTCGGCGAGAGGCTCCAAGAGCCTGAGGCTTACTGTTCGTAGATCCTCTGCCCCCAGGCCCCCCATTCCACCTTGGACCCTCAAAAAGAAAGCGAGAAGGGCTGAGGGCTTCTGTTGGCTGTGTGGGGCTAAAAACAGAGGGAGTCAGGCTCTGTCCTTAGGGATCAAGAACTTCTTATTTCCTCCCCACAAGGCCAGTGTGAGCACCTCTATCATCTCAGGATATTGCGTAACGAGGAAGCTGTGCACACCACGTCCAGCTTGACTGTGGCGGGCAAGTGTCCAACCAAGAAGAGATGGGGGGCAGCAACGCGTCTGTGTCTCGGCCTTCAGACGTGAGCTGGGGTCCCCTCCAGTGCCACCTCCAATGTGGCTCGCGGGGAGTGGGACCAGCCTACAAAGCAGGTGCATGTCCTTGATGCCAGTTGATACCATTTGATATTTTGTTCTCATGTCAACCCCACAAGGAAGATCGTGTGGTGCTGTTTACTGACAGGGACGCTGGCCCAGAGAGACACCCAGCAAGTCTCCAAGGACATATGGCTGGAGGGAGGCAGAGCCCGGGCCAGCCCAGTCCTCGGAGCTTTGTCTGTGGCATCAAGAACGGGAGGAAAGGGGAAAAGTCTCAGGCTCATATATCCGCAAAACATTTTTTAAGGGAAGAAGTGGAAGGGAAGCGGAACCTAGACTGAGAGAGACGATACAGGGCCCTCGTTTTAGCTGAGGGCTTCAATTTCCCCGAAGCCCTCTAATCAGAGCGAAGAGCAAGAATGATTTTGGACAGGATCTCTTTGCCTCCTCTGATTCCCCCATCCCGCTCCTTCGGTGGTGAGCTGATAGGTAGGAGAGGGAAGGAAACGCAAGGCCTCCGGGGAGCTGGGAAGGCTGGAGGTGTCTCTTCCCGGCTTCTTACCTGAAAAGCCGGTCAAGGAGAGCAGGAGGAAGAGCCCCATGACGGGGCAGAGATGAGCCTTCAGCGGCCAGAGGGGCCCAGGGGTCTCAGCAGTCCTGGATCTGTTTAAGGGAAACAGGTATTTTTGAGCTCAAGGCCGTTTTATGCTCTTTGGAGAAGTCAGGGAAAAGGTAACGACCAGCTAATCCCAGGTGCCCAGGTGCCCAGGTCTGCGCTGCACAGGGGCACCTCATCGGAGGGGTGCTGTTCATGGACACAAACTTATCAAGTGGGGCAAATGAGAAAGTTCTGGGCTTCCTGGCAGAGCCCCAAACAGGAATGGAGATTCCCATCCTGGATAAACCCACCCAGACACGAAGCCCTGAACACGCTCAGAGCAGCACATGTGCACACACACCGTTGCTGGCACACACTCGTGTGCGCAGCTGGGCCTGCCCTGCCAAGGGTCCGAGTGTCCCAGGGGCCACTCCTCCGGTCCTTCCACCACTCTCAGAGGCCCGATTCCTCTTCAGCTCAGAGGAAGACTGGTGAGGAAACTCCTAGCTTCCCGGACTCCTGAGTGGAAGGACCCTGAAGCCTCGCTGGGGGTGGGGCTGGGGGTGGAGCATGAGGCTGTCACTAGCAGACGTGGCTGTGGCCAGCGCCTCTGCAGCACGTGAGCAGGCCCACAGCCAGCCCAGGAAGCCAGCCCGCTGGAAGTCAGATGGGCAGGAAGTCAGGCCACCCTCTCTAGCAAGAGCCCAGGCTGCCCAACAGCCACCCCTGTGCACAATCAGCCCCAAGTGGCCAGGACTTGAGAATAACTGACGGCGTCCCTAAATTTCCCCCTGCTTCCAACTTGGGACCAACCAGAAAAAGTCCAACATGCTCCCCTAACCAAGCACACAGGGGCGCCCCTGTAGTTAGCCCGCCTGCAGCTTCCCAACGGCCTCCAGTCAGGCCCGAAGCCTCCCTTTCTCCCGATGCGGAGCCTCCCACTCCTCCGCCCTCCTCAGTCTCTGCCAAGGTGCCTGTGACAGTGGCCGACCCCCTTGCTCAGTAAACTCAGAATAAGTAGCCTTCCGTCTGCTTATTTCCATAGTTGACTTGATAGAACATTCGGGCAAACAGACCCAGCTACTCGGCATCTGTCTTTGTTCCAGCGAAGTCACACGGGGGGGAGAGGGAGCGGCCTGTTTCGTCTGGGTGGTCTTTCTGCTTTATTCCTTCAGAGTGAGAGCCCGACAGCCACCCGCCCACTACTGTTCAGCCGAGGGGAGCTGGCCAGGGAGAGCGTCAGGGAGGCCCNAACAGCCACCCGCCCGCTACTGTTCAGCCGAGGGGAGCTGGCCAGGGATAGCGTCAGGGAGGCCCTGTGACATTATCTGGAAACCTGAAACCAGGGTGGAACTCGCCACTTCTACCCAAGCTCCACACCCAGGATTCTTGGTTCATCTTTTTTGAATTCACTCCAAAGGCCATTTTCTCTTTAAGGGCTTCTTCTGGGCTGATGGAACACTTTGGCCCAAGGGATGCCCATTTGACCAAAAAATAAAACTCAGCTCCACGGGGAAGGAAAAGAAAGGGCAGGGAAAGGGGCGGGGGGAGCAGGGAAAGGGGCGGGGGGAGCAAGGGAGAAAAGAAAACTGTTTTTCGGAATCTCAGGAGCTACAGCCTCTATGATGACATCAGATGACCCGGGACAGGCTGTTGTTTTGTTTAGAGGGAAATGATCGCTTTAGACCAAGTTTCCAAAAAAGGGCAGGTGCTGAATGTTGCTATAGCAGCAGAGTTTGAGATTGCAAATTAAGAAGCTCGCGTGAAGATGGGCAGGAACTTAGAACGAACCAGTACTTCCCTCAAGCAAAGGTGGCTCCAGGGCAGAACAGTGTGCCGGGGTCACCAGTAGCCCCAGAGTAAACCCAGGGCCTTGTCCCGGAGGGACGTTTTAACGAAACACAAATATTAATTCAGGGGGGAAAGGCTTGACTCAAATAAGGAGAGACCACTAAGAAAAACACCAGGGAGTAGGTTGAATTCTTAAGGGAAAATATCCCCCAAAATGTTGAAGGGGAGCTCGTCAGGCATAAAGCCATCCCCTACTCCCAAGGCCCCAGGGAGCTGTGGCGCTGTGTTCCAGCCTTCTGCCCCCAAGATACGATTGTGAGGGACCGACAGGGAGCGGGTGGGTGCGGTGACCAACTCAGACTTCCCAGAGAGTGTTCACTCTTCCTGGGGTGTCCTGGGGCAAGGGGTGAGGGGAACACAGGTGACCATGCCATGTGGCTCCAGGTAGCCAGGAGGCGGAATGCCAAGAGCAGCCAGCTGGATCTTCAAGCCCCAAGCGACCCTGGCCCTCAGCAAAGAGCGACACAATCGCTGGCTATCGTCTTTTATTTACACAAATACACGTACAGGTGAATTCAGCAGTTTAAGTCCCCCTTAAACTCCGTTCACTCCTGTTCCCACCGTCTCCCAGGCACCTGCGGGGAGCAGGGCTCTCTGCTTAGCTCCCCCACGGAGTGGAACTGAGTCACCATCACATGCACGTCCAGCCTGAGCGGGGCCTTCGGTCAGTAAGCCAGTGAGGCACCCTTCAGCTTCCATGACTTCTGTCTGGGAAGGAGGAACAGGGTCGATATTAACAATAGACCATTGTCCTTAAGCCAGGCATCCAGAAAATTGAATTAGGGAGCAAGGACAAGGGAGAAAAAAATCGAATTAGAGGAAGAAGGTAGCAGAAGAGGTACAATGGGAGACAGCCGGCCAAGTGCGCCCCACATCCGTGGGAGGAATCGAGCGTGTGAAAGACCTGGGCCCAGGTGGGTGGGCCCTGACGCGGGTGCGGATGTTGAAGCTGAAGATCGGGGGGCAGGCAGTCGTCCTTCACTAAGAAATCTGTTCAATATCTGGTTCCAAGGAATCAGAGGCCTGGCAGTTCATACAGGCTTTGAAGATAAAGAAGTAGGTTTCCTTGAACTTCTTTATTTTAAAAGCATACACGATAGGGTTCATCATGGAGTTAGCGTGGGACAGCAGGATGCCCAAGTACATCACCCCTGGGGACACGTCGCCTTTGAAGTAGATGATGCAGTTGATGATGGACAGAGGCAGCCAGGACAAAGCGAACAGAAAGAGCACCAGGAACAGGGACTTGGCCGTCTTGAACTCCCGCCCGTAGAACGCGCCTGACTCCTTGGAGCCTGAGAAGTTCTGGGCGAGCTTGTTCCGGATGACACAGAAGATGTCAATATAGATGGCGCACATGGCCACCAGCGGGATGAAAATCCAGGTGAAGAAGCTGAAGTACACCATGTAGTCCATCCTCATGACCGCGCGGAACCGGCAAGGAAGGGCGGTGTCGTTTCTGTGCGACTCCGGGGACAGTTTCATGTTCCAGCCGAACATGGGGGTCAGTCCCACCAGGAGGGACAGCAGCCAGCAAAGGCCCAGGGCACACCATATTCTTTTCTGGGTGGTGACCCTCCTGTATCTGTTTGGATGGAAGAGAGCGGGTGAGTTCACAGCGTTTGCTAAAG